TTCATATAAATTTGGAATTTTGAACCACATATTTCAACTGTAATTAATATGAAAGAAAATGAACAATAAATGTCTGTCATGACTCATGTTTCAGACAATTATAAGTTGTTGGTAGATAATCCAATTAGATTATTTAACTTTTACTTAAATGGTTGACCTAACATCGAAACGAAACATATAAATATGAATCGCTTTCTTAAGACTACAAAAAAAGGAAAATAACTTCTGACAATTCATTTCAACCACACCATGAAAAAAAATTAATTAACTCGATATAATATTATGTGGCATAAAATATATTTCCAAAAATTTGTTTTGAAAAAATAATAATACAAAAATAAGCATTTCAAAAGAAAAAAAGAACAGAACTCATCATTAAACAGATTGGAACAAATATAATAATATTATATTAGTATAAATTGTGTTCCTATAAATTTTAAAATGATTATAGCTATTAATTGGTTAAATGTTTGTCCATTATTAGACACCAAATTTTTTATAAAAAAATTATTATTATGGATTTTAATTTTAAAATCCAATTTAAATCATTAACGAAAAAAAATCGTTATTACATTTTAGTATTTAACATATCAGCGCAAAAGATTTAGCCGTTAAGGTTTTAGATAAATGTTTGAGAGTTTGAGATACTGAATGTAGACAGTTTAAAAATCTATGTAAGTTTACGACATACTTAACTCTGCGGGGAAATAACCTCAACCGACTCAACTTCGTTGTCATAGTAATTGTTTCAAAGATTTGTTTGAAACAGTAAAATATGAAACAAAAAAAAAACAGTTAAAAGAGACGAAGGAACAGCTAGCAGTTTTTCTGGAGTATAATAAGATAATATTATTTATTTATAAGTGTGATAAACAAAAACTAATGCATTTAATTAAAATGTTCATACATTATTAATGTAGAGATGGTATTTTGTTTTTCAAAAAAATTATTTTTTAAAATACGATTTGCACAACAAACCGTTCTCGTTAAGCCAATAATGATCATAACGATGATCAATAACATCCATACATTTTTTCTTTTTATAAATATTATAATAACGTTTACGCCTCTTCTCTCGATAAGATCAAAGTGCAACTTGAGTTGATTTATATCCAAAGCCATGTTACATAGTAAGATTAGGTAATATTTATGCAATGGAAATTCTTACAGTTGTACAATAAAAATAKTAATATAATCTAATGTTATTATAAATAATGTGGGTTCCTCATGAAAATTCGACTACCTATATTCACGTGTATTCATGTGTATACGCATGTAGGTTGCTTCCGTTTACAAACATTAGCTGGCTTACGAAACTGTGAGTAAAATTAGAAGTAACAAGTTAGATTGTCTTACAGCGTGTTCAATGTCCAAATACTGATCATGGTAATCGGCAAACGGCAGATAGGTACTTATATTCAATATTTTTTTGCGATAAAATCTGTGGCCAATTGCCAGCTAAAAATATTCATACTAATCATGTGATCGGATTATATTATGTGATTTGATCCCCATTTGCATTAAACAACAACGAAATAGTATGTTATAAATCATTATACTTTCTGTAATAGTCGAGCTGTCATAGTTGTATACTAATAGCTAATAAAAATAAAAAAAAAAAAAAAAATCATTATACTTATAAGTACATAATAACGTATAAAAATGACCTTTTATTTGAAGATGATTCATTTTGTAAACGCGAAATGGTTATATATTTTATGTAAGTGCTTACTTTGAATTGCATAATGTCAAGCTGCAGTCATATGATTGATCATTATTTTCTTTAAGTTAATACATTTAACATTTGATCCAAGTAGGTACGTAAATCTATTATTTACTGATCTTCTTTATTTTTTTTTTATACGTTTTACATAAAATATTATATAAAGAAACTTAATTTTAAATTCTATACAAGTATCCATGGTAAGGTCAAAATGAATATCATATCGTTTGCAATCTTCTAATATCAATTTAACGCTATAAATAGTTCTTCGTCAAAATTAATACTAATCAGTAATTAGCTGAATTTCCGTGATTTTCTTAAATGTAAAGTTAAGGCTCTTGATATCATTATCAATTATTTAACATATTATTCATTATTATCTGTACCTTAATACTGGCATACTTTTCGCATATGTCTAATTGTTTAACTTTTCAATTAGATAGTCTAAAAATTCTAATCCGAAAAAATCGAGGAAAAAATGCATAAATGCAAAAATGCATCATTAGGCCTTTGTTCACTGAGGATCTAAAATACTCAACAAGATTTAAGAATTATAATGGTAAGTTAAAATTAAATAACTAATTATTAGATACCTTTTCACTAATTTCAAAATTTTATTTAATAAAAATAATTTAGGATACATTTTAAGAGTTCACATTGACCTGGCCTGATCCTTTGTATAGACGGTTTTTAACACCAACAAATTGATACATTTTTTGTAACTCGTTCAATGTCATTTAAAATGCAATTATATTCATTTTATCTAGCTATAATATGCCTATGTTTCTTATATAGTTTCACTATCATTTTGATTACAGTGTTTAAAAATTGAAATTGATTCTTGTTGCACAATATCCAACACACGGTGGCGGTATCCGTTGCCATCGGGTGACTTCATAATAACGGCACCGTTAACTCGCTTCAATACACTCTGAGGGCGACCAGTCATGAAATCTAATGAGCTGATTTATAACGGATAGACGGCTTTAGTGCGTTGCATTGAATTCTAATTAACGTTAATAGTTTATACTAACCATGACACGACACAAGAAAAATAATAATAATTGCTATAGTTTATTTTGRCATTATAACTTATAAGCCTCATTATCAAACTTTAGCGTCATCAAATACAGATCAGTTATCATGAAATATTCATTAAATAGTTCTATAACGGTTTATTATTTAAAAAAATGATAATTCTACATTTCTACCTATATTTTTGAATATTTAATAATAGAATTTAACACACATGATATAGTGTATTATTATTATTTTCCAGTAGGTAAGCGTATACACTTTTTAAATAAAGAATTTATTTTTGAGAGTAGGTAATTATTATCCAATACATTGCAATACATCACAATAGCATTAAAATAGTAAAATTAATGTCTCTAATACACCATCATAAAAGTATAGGTATAGGTCGATTAATGGAATATTGTTAGGTTATATTATTATACAAGATAATGAACAATATAAATTGTATAATATAAATATAACAATATAAATTGTATAATTGAGGCCTTCTTTTAAAGTAAATTAACATTTCGGACAATGTTTAATCTGCAGATTATCAAAATAATAATCCGTCTTAAACCAATTTGGACTTAATTAATTAAACACTAATACAATTTCAATTATTTTACCTTCAGGCTAATTAAAACAATTTAATCTATTAGGTATATGTTATTTCCTATGTATTTTAAAATAAAACAATAATTTTTTATAATATGTATTATAACCTGTTCCGCGAACCGAGGGAATGACCTCTGCAGAGGACGATGTTTTGAGCAGAATAATATAAATAGGAATTATGATACGAAATTCTGAAGTGTATAATTGTGACATTCGTTTCTGGTGTAAAATGTAAATATTATTAAAACTCGACGAATTTCCCAAATCATGTGTATATATTATTATATAATATATTAGACGCATCGTGTATATACTTTATATATATATACATATATGATATATGTATAAGTTAGACGTATTGTTTGAGTGTGTTTGTGCATGTCTATATCTACCGCTGTTATACGCGGAGACTGGTCCAACCGATCCGACAAGTTGCACGAATGAAAAACCGATACCTACTCACTTGCAGGATCCAAAACCGATCGTTTGAGGGAAAAATATGGAATGCGCCACCACCGTGCATATAATATAATATTGTAAAAGAAATAATATATACCAACGAATAAAACATATAATATGATTAACTGGTGTTTTTTTCTTGGAGAAAATAAAATAGTTTCACGCGGATCCATTATTTGCAGTGATGGTAGGAGAGAGAGTTTTTGTGGCGTAACTGCAGCGTGTTCTGATTATCGTCCACACTATAACGTCGCTATAATATTATAATTTATATATTATGGACAGGCGGGTACCGCGATGATTGCCGTGGCTGGATAACGCTGCGATTAACGCGTGATTCATATAAAGACACGCTCGCGCGGGGAGGTGCCGATTTCCGACCGATCGATCGGAAAAAAAACGTAATAGTAACCACCCGTCGCTGAAAGTGAGATATATTCGTCTACGGGGACTATTCGCATAATCAGCATAGGTACCACGGTTATGGTGGAGGAGGGGCAAAGGCGGTGGACAGGGTACAAATACATTTAAATGCAATATATTATATTATTTTTTTCTAAACTTCTATATAATATGTATAAGTGGTTTTTATTTTGTTTTTATAATAGTAAACTTGTCATATAACACCATTAGATTCGACACTAACAGTTTTGAACATTAACGAATTAAAACATAGGTACACCTATAAACTATTGTGAAAACAGTTTAATTTTGAACTTTGAATTCAGTGTGGAGTGTGAAAAATACCAAAGTGAGCATTAGAGAAAACCACGGATTTYGAATATTTAGTGAATTAACTAAAGCGAGAAAACTTTTAATGAACATTTAAAAAGAGGAATTTGTGAGGATTTTCGCAGGCGCATAGCGACTATACGAGTATAGAGTGGGAACCGTACCTACTTTAAAGTGGTTCYTATAGGACTGTAGAAACCCAATAGTAAGGTTTCAGTATGCGCGATCTTCTAACCTTTTCAACAATACCGATATAATATTATATATATAAATTTACAATAATATGTATATGTACGCAATTGTATGGCTCTGGTATCTATCTATTATTATATAATACTATAATATCTATTATACGTGATAATCGTACAATAGGTATCTGTCAAGTCGAATGATTATGTACACGTCTTAAACGTAGATCGGAAGTGGCGTACAGCGTATTGTTGTTACTTACGAGATCCTGGACGACGTGCTGCGGACAGTGGACGTTCGGAGCAGCGCGTGCAAGAGGGTCGCATGGACCTCGGCAGTCAACAGGGTCGTCGTGCGGGGCTGCGTTCTCCGCGGACGTAATCTAGGTACATATGAATGTGTAGGCACGTCGCGCGAGTGGGGTGTCACGGGTTCGCAGTGAGCATTACTCGCGAAGATTGCGACGGCTTTGGCGGTGCAACACCCGCGTGGTGTACGCGAACGACTCGGCGGCGGTAGGACCGAAACGTCGCGGTTTTCGTCGGCTGATCAACGTAGAAACAGAATCAACAAATGCGCGTTCGTCAATATCGCGTAGATGCACCGCGGGAGTGAAAAACGTATAGACACACCCCGAACGAGCGTCGCTAAATATTAAGCTCTTCCGTCGAACAAACAACAAACGACGTCGTCGCAGCCTATACGCGCCGCGCTATTATACGGCCGAGTCGTACGGTCGATATATTATATTTATAATATTACTGCTGTTATTATAAATTTCAAACAGRACGGATTAACAATCGCGGGCGGCGGGTAAAACGACGATTGCGATATTAGGTACTATTGCGATTAATAAATAATTATTGTTGTTAATGGTTTGGTTGAACAGCCGACGACCGCGGTGCGTGCGTCATATATTGCGTGTGATCAACGAACCGACACTGAGAGAGCACTGCCGCGGTGGATTTGGCGGCGGGACGACGGCGGTGTGCGCGTAACGCGGTCGGCGGCAATCGCCGGGGGACCGGCCGAAAGACTCGCCGCGTCCTCCACCATGCAGCCCGAACCCGGGCCACTTCCACCGGCCGCAGCGGTCGTCGCCACTCGTCGCCGCCGCCGTCGCCACTACCATTTCGCGCGCGTTCTTCTCCGCGGCGGCCGGTGCAACGCCCCCGTGGACGAACGATCGCTGCGGGTCGACGACGCGGGTTTTTTTTTCACACGACCGGAACAAAGAGACGCGCGCGCGGCGTCTGCAAACGGACCCGTCGCTCGGTCGCTGCCAGCACGGCCACGGCGTAAGAGAAGATTCTTCTATTCTTCATCTACGCCGCCGTGGTCGCTGCAAAAGGCACATCCGGAGAGACGAGTATCGTGGCTGGGTTACCGAGACCGCGGTAGTGCTGAAAGACAAAATTCTCAACCTAGGTATAGGTTGTAGGTACATCATCACTACATGTTATTACCATATTATCATGTCCTTATATGAATGTCCCGAAAATCCTTAATATTATTATCTTCATCGCAAATCATGTTGTTAATATTGTTATTTTTTCCACAGTAACGTATCAGACAAAATGATTCAATTAGATCGGAATTTTTTAATAAGATTGCTGTTGAAGACTYATTTAAATCTATTGGTGTGTCACACTTAGACCATGTATTATATACACATATTTTTCTATTATTATCACATAAGTTGTCTCTTATAAGCATTACGACTCTTATGTATAAAATATTATTATATTTTTGGTAGTCGTTTRAACTTGTGCACGTTTGCCTACTGTGTTATCACAAAGCGWTAATCAGAGTCACTTGCACGTGAGAGATTCGACCGGAAAATATCTTAATTTTCAATCGTGAAAGTACCAATACCGTATCGACTGCGATTGTCAACAGTCCGACGACAACGACAAAAGCAAACACCGGTTGGCGGTTGAAGTCAACAGGAAATCGCAGAGATTCCTCGAACACGCTTACTCGCATATAATATATACGCTATTGTCGATATTATATAGTAGCTCTATAGTCTATACCAATACATATATTATTATGACTCATTGTTTGGTATCTGTAAATCCATCACGTCCCGATTGGTATACAACACTTGTTATTGCTTGGCCATACCGATTAMCGATACTTCTTTTTCAAGCTCAGTAACCAGTTGTTCGGTCTACTTAAATTTTCCGAGGTTTGCTTTGACWACGAACTTCGTCCGTAAACGGATAACTGAGCGTGAGATGTAAAAAAAACTCAATTATTATGCAATGCCATGCTATTGACTATTGAATGCGTATTACTCATAAAAATATAAAAGCRATTAATTATCATTATATTATAYTGGGACGACTGTTGTACGAGGAACRAACTATAAATCATTATTTCAGTGATAGGTTATACTATTACCTATATGGTAAAAGTACCATTTAGTTCGTACAAACTGTTTGCAATAAAAATATTTACCAAAGTTTRATTTGTATAAATAATTAATAACGCAATTACACATTTAMAYAACTAAACGCTATATTTTATTATTTTARAAATATCGTTCATTAAATGGACAATAATATTTTACATGATTTTAGTTATTAAAAGTTATTCAAAAAGTATTTATAAACAATAGAATTACTTTTTTTCTGGTTGTATTATAACAGGCATATACTAATTACATATACATATAATAAATTATAAATTATAATATTAAACAATATAAATTTCATTTARCTCTAAACATTGTATAAGGCTCATCTGGTGATACTCTCATCTGGTGGCYAGTAAATAATATTTATCTCTTCGAAAATAGTTAGTAAATTTTGTTTAAATTTGAATTCTRAGTTCTACTTTTACCTATACATTTAACAACATGTCTTTTATTTATTTATTGCTTTAATATAACTTGTGCCAATGTACCTGACTCTTTATAATTAACTAAATAATACTTTTAGTAAGATTTGTTCAGAGTTAATTAGTTAAATACTTCTAGGTATGTAGAAATATTTGGCCATTAATTCACCAAAGCCAATGCTTGAAAGCTCGGARTTGTCTTTTTTAATATCATTTAACAKTTTAACCCAAAATTTCTTTTCTTCCTCAAAGGTCGCCTGTGAAATAATTAGGTTATGCATTTGAATACACATTCATCATGTTATCGTTTATACTCATATTGAGTTTACTGATCAGAATTTCATATTTATAAGTTTTTAAATGTTAGATAATACAAAACCTAAAAATAAAAAATGAATCGCTTCAACTCACCTAACTATATCTAACCCAAACACTAAAAATTTTCAAATAATCATGTTTTTGATTTAATTTAAAAAAAGAATATTTTAACTCTGTGACCTAGTATGTGTAATCTTTATGGTCATTAATTTATATTTAAAAAGTAAGAAGAGACAGAAATTATGATGCTACGTAAACTGCGAACAACATTTTTTTTTATAAATTTGTCCAAACGTAATATACCTACCTATTACCTACATGGCTATATGATTGCATACCATTACTATTGTACTATAGTCTATAAGACAATGTCTCTTCAGGTTTCGTTCTCGTATATTCTCACCCACCTACCTACTGAATATTTATAAATTTATAATTCTCCTCTTCCCGTTTCATACCACAATGAAACAAATAATTTGATTTAATAATTTAAATATTAATACCCAACTACATAYGAACTTAATGTACAAATATTTAGAAACTATTAAGTAAAAATATTAAGATAAACTGGCCATCTCTAACATATTAACAACTGTTATTTTTTTATTATCGACTATTATTTTAAACTTCAGATGTATCAAGCAATTAATTTTAAATACTTAACAATGATCAAGTAATAAGTAATAACAAATAAATAATATTTAATATTAACATATACAAGCTTTTTATTTTTATGAAACAATATTATAAAAGTACTGTAATTACTAATTAATAACTAATAATGAAATTTATAAAATTCCATAAGTACCAATTGTTTTWTTATCAATGAAAACYGACGATAATTGTCSAAAGAATCAAGATTTCATCATTTAAATGTTTTTATCTTCAAAATGTTTGGGGRAAAATATYCAAATGTAATGTATAAATATCAAACTATACAGTAGTACAGAAATATATATGTATAATATATATTATWTACTATTATTATTATTTATTTGCATATATTTGTAAATGGATTTATTTTGAAGATAAATATTTTAATAACTTTTATAAGTTATTATAATATATTACTTATAGTAGATCTTACAACAAAAACTTAGATTTAATGTAATTCTGATCAGATTTTAAACAATTAATTTAATTTATCAAATATTAATATGATAATGAATTTACTTGCAATGTAAACGAATTTTTAGATTCAACATTGGATACTAAACGAAAACCTAATGGATTTCCTTTCACATGTTCAATAATAGTGATGTTCCTAATCTAAAAAAAAAWTAAAAGTTTACCATTATGAAGTTACTAGAAGTTAACAGCTTACCAATATATGAGCTTTGTATTCCAACAGTCCGCATTTTTGTTCTTTAACAATCAATAACATATTGTTCAATATAATCACATGAAGTTTCTTCTTCGTTCCCGCAATCATTAAATCGCCTTCAGCATGCAATTCAAAACAATTGTTAGATAGATCGACCTGTAGATAACAATACATTTTTAGAGTCGGTTTAAATCGTATTATAATGTATTATTATAGTTGACGAGATACGAATTATTATTTGAATAAATAATTATTATTTGAATATAATGACAATTTGTTATGTTGCAGATGGCTATAATTACATTTGTTTTATCCTTCAAATGTTGAATCATTAATCGTATATCCTTAACACGGCCTTCTTTTTCGTATTTATTTTTCGTTTCATTAATAATTTTAGCTAAAAGAACCATTTTATCATGAGCTTTTACGACTAAAGAATGATCAGTTTCGTTACATGAAGTATATGCTGCTAATTTCTGTTAAAAAAAAAAAAAAATACCGTAAAAAGTGATTGAAATATGTTTTCAAGTAGATGTATTATTAAACATATTAAGCTTGATTATTCATAATCCTAATTCAATAAACTTAAGATTCGTAATCCTAACTCAATAAACCGAAGAACTCATATCTGTTATACCTTAAATTGCTATTAGTAATCTATTTTAATATATTATATAGTACCTACCCAGTGGCGTAATTTGGCCATGTTTGTGGGGGGGGATAAAATATTTCAACATTTTACCTATACAGCTATACCCCCCTCCCATAAAAAAAAATAAAAAGTATTTATTATAAGCACCTTTCAGAATTCAGAGTAATATAATATGTACACATGAGACATGGAATAAAATCCGATTAAGTGTACAAATCAATCAGTTATTTTTAGTTCAATAGCACTACGGAAAAATATTAGG